TGCTGTCGGACAAGCCGACCTACACCATACTTCCTCTTATTAGGTCTAGCAGAAAGTTCTCGGGCAGTTAGACCCAAAATTTCAAAGTCTCATAACTCGGTTCAAAATCAACATTTTTGTTTAAAATAAAGACTGTTCGCCTCCACACAACGTTCCCAACGCGAAACCAGGGCATTTATCCACATAGCCTAGAAACCGGGGTCCATGGAATCAAAAAATCGGCGGACATCAGCTTTTAGTAGGGTATCATTTGGGAAGTTCTTCCCACGCAGGAAAAGCTCCAGATTTTGAAAAGGTGATAATCTGTTGGCGAAAGGTCGGGAGAGTATGCTGGATGAGGCAGAACATCGAAACCAAATTAGTTAATGTTTTGCAGTGTTGTTCGTGACACGTGTGGTCTGGCGCTATCCTGTAAAAGGATCGGACCACTTCTGTTCATCAATGCTGTCCTTATTCTCAACAACCGATCCCTTGCTACCTCAAGAGTGTGAGAGTGTATTGGGCGTCAATGGTTTGCCCACGTTCAAGGAATTCTGAGTTCACAACACCGGTGGTACACCAGAAAACGATGAGCATGACTTTCCGTGGGTGTAGTGTCGATTTTGGCATCATTTTTTGTGGCTCACTTAAGTCCAGCCATTGAGCTGACCTCCGCCGATTATCATACTCAATCCATTTTTCATCCACAGTAATAATTCGATCAAGAAATGGATCACAGTGGTTTCTAAGCAGCAACGACGAACGAATTTCCAAACATCTGAACTTTTGCGCTTCGTCCAGCTCATGTGGGACCCATCGATCCAACTTCTTGACCTTCCCAATCTGCTGGAGGTGGGTTGAGATAGTTTTCTGGTAGACACCAAGTTTGTCCGCCTTCTGCACCTGTGACTGGGCGGGGTCCGACTCCACCATCTCTTTCAGTTCGTTGTTGTTGATGTCGGAAGGGCGACCTGACCTCGATCCATCTTCGAGGTTTATTTCTCCGGCGGCGAGTTTCTTGAACAAACCTCCAACTGTGTATTTGGAAGTGGTTCCCTCCCCAAATGCTTTGTTGACATTAGCTGCCACCTCCCTGCTCGAACGACCGAGTTTGAACTCATAAAGCATAATTCCACAAATTATAATCTCCGCGACATCCCGAAAGAAATTATTCCAATCAGTTATGGTAGCAGAAGAGAGCTCTGCAGGCGTCTCTCTGACAAGCTGGAAAGAAGCTTCACTTTAAGTGAAGTTTCCACGGCTCCAGAAATATGCGAGCTGGAATATCTCTTTCGGTGTCAAGCGGGAACCCTCAAAAAATGTCCCCGCGCGAAGTGCTTTTTTCTTCCGGCAGCCCCGTTTGTAACACCTAAATATCCGGAAGCTATCTTTCTTAGCTTTGACTGCTAAGGTCATCTCAGACCCACACTCACGCAGTCTCCCCGTAGGCAAGAGACCTAGATTCTGCAAAAAATCATCGAACTGAACATCAGGCTTCCTGATGCACTCCAACACATCATTCAATTTCCAACCCTTTAGAGCATCCATTTTCACAGATTTCGAACAACGACAATACGCATTCAAAACGTAATGAAGAATAACTGTATTAGTAATGCAATTCATCATTGTTTCATGATTTCGCAAGAATAACTCCAACTGTGGTCCGTCGGAGAAAGATTGACTCATATTATGTTGTATAATTTCTGTGTGAACCATATATTGGCTAGACATTTAAAAAGTAAGTACATCTGAGAGGCGCGGAAAGATAGACTATCTCCGTGTCGTATTCTTATTGTGGAAACCATATGAATCGGCTGTGGACCCTCAGCTAAAGGATAGGCTCTTTCCGTGTCGTATTCTTATTGCGTAAACCATATACATTGGTTAGACATTTGAAAAGTAAGGCGCGCTCGTCAATTGAAGAGCAACGTTCCTATGCGCGCGGTGGCGCCCCTCAGCTAATGATGTGCCTTCTGTGCTAAAAATGTATTCAAATGTTTTCGAAACGAATTGTTCATTGAGCATTTATTGTACACACGGAATAAGTACACAAACAAATCATCAACATCAACAAATTTGCTTGCAAGACGTCCTATGCGGTGGGCATTCATCGTCGCGTCAGCAACTACTTTTTCTCTCAAAGATAACACTGCTCTCTGCTTAACACTAGCGACATTTGTCGTTTTGCGCATTAGAGCAAATGCAGAGGGTCAGTTTTGGCGGGTCATTACAACACATGTGATCAATGGCGTCGTTGCTTATTTGTTAACAAGTGAAACACTCAAAATTTGGCGGTAAATTAAGACTATTTATATGTTGACGAAGGATGAAATTGTTTGATAATGCACAAGGCAGAGAGCAATTGGATTTGATTGTGCAATCAATCATTGGGGGAATTGAACTGATCGGTCAAAACCGATCTATGAGTGGAACGAAAATGAAAGAAAAAATAAGAATTATAATCTATGTGCACAAAATACTACCTTAACGAGCATTGTCACGTATCTTTCGTGTCACATAATTTCGATATTACATGATGAGCTAAAACAAAGGAACGAACAAGAGTAGAAAATTTCACGCAGTGACCCTAAATTATTCATGAGTTGTTATGCCAATCGTAATTGAGTTGATAATTCATAAACGTAAATCTGTGCAGCAAGTAATAAGGCTAGCTTCATCCAATTTCAAGGTAGAGGTCGCCACGCAAACTGTTTAACTAATGAGCATTATTGGATGTATGTCTCAAATTTTTAGTCTGCCGCCGCATCAGTTGCGTGTAAGTATTTGCACGCATACAAACCACCGTAAGATATTTGCACGAATTTTCGAACGTTTTCAGTGCGTTATTTATCAAGTAATTGCAATTTCGAAAAATATATGTGGCTTGAAAATCATGTATGAATTAAGGTACACAATTTATGTGGAGGAACTATGGAATCGTTTTGATGTATGCCGTTTATCATCAGTGCTTCGTGAATTCCAATTCAACTTGAGGGTATTCGAATAGGTAGTTGAATTCTTCGCTTGAAAAAGAAAACAACAGTTTCTTCTCACCGATGGTATACAATTAGCATATCCGTTATTCTCCCTGATATTCTCATGCGAGAATGATTGTAATGTATGCACTTTATCCAACTCACACAAAAATAATTCATAACTATTTTCGCAGAGAGATTCCCTCAATTTACTTCATCCCAAACAGCCGAAAGTAACAGTCGCTAGAGTAAAACACTAAAAAGTGCTGAATGTGTGAACCTCGTGTTGAAGGACAAAAGTAGAAAAATCAATGCAGTTCAAATCGATGCAAGCAAAACCACTGCCTGCCGTCTCAAACTCAAAAATTCACCTATGTTAAAAGCACCACGCACTTCCAGGCCAAGGTTTTCCTTTCAACATATTACTTGTCTTGATACACTTCAGTTGTTCACCATTGGCCGGGGTTATAAGACAATCAAACTAGAAACGTTTTGGTTTGATCATTGTTTGAAAATTATAACACTACTTTACCACAGGAAATAAAGATTCAAACATAATGTAAACATTGACCAACCGGAAATTCAAAAAAATTTTATTTGCACATGCTATACAGTTATGACGGGTTTTGGTTTATAATGTTTGTGGCCCTAAAGAGGGCCGTTGGGTTTGAATCAGTGAATGAATAAAACACACGTTTGTGATGACGCTTACGCCTTCTTAGCTGCGACCTTAGCCTTCGGGGCCTTCGCCTTTTTAGGGCTTTTGACCTTTTTGGGCTTCGCTGCAGCTGGCTTCTTGACTGGTTTCGCTTTCTTTGGGCTAGCCGACTTTGCCTTCTTGACTGTAGCTTTTGGCTTCTTCTCTTCGCTGACTTTCTTAGTTCCGGTTGCCTTCTTCACCACCTTTTTGACTGCTGTCTTCTTGGGGCTTTTGGGTTTCTTGACCTTGGGGGCTGCTGGCTTCTTCGGGGCCTTGAGGGCTTTGTCGGCCAAGCGGAACGATCCACTGGCACCAGTTCCTTTCGTTTGCTTCAGATGACCGGACTTAACACCGGACTTCAGAGCAATACGAAGATGAGCGTTTACCTTGGTGATGTTATCGTCAAGCTTGAAGTGTTGCAGAATATACTTCAAGATGGCAGCACGACTTGAGCCTTTCTTTTCCTTCATCGCTCCAATAGCTGCCTTAACCATGGCCGCATACGGTGGATGGGTAGCGGGTTTAGTGACTTTGGGCTTTGTAACCTTCTTCGGAGAAGCTTGAGGAGACGACATTATTCCGAGAATAAGAGATCAACGCAGACGAGCAATACGCCACAAAACAGATGTGATACCGCTTGCACATCTATGATCGCTTTTATACTACATGCTCGCAGTGGGTGGGACTTTATATTCATGGCGCTAAACTGGCGCCTTTGATAACCGATGAAGATCAAAACCGGCGGGAATTGGGCAAACGTGTTGTCGACGATGCAAGTATGCAGGATTACGCTTTATCGCATTGCAGAAATTTATTCGAGAAGTTATATAGTGCTCAGCCGGGTGAAGGTTGATGTAACGTACCGAAGACGCGACTGATCATTATCTACTTCCATAAATATCACAAGACAAAAATATTTGGAAGCTGGAGTTTCCATGCGTTCTTGATGTCTGCAGATAAACTATGAGTAAAATTTTGTCATTGGTTACATTACAATACATTGGTTACATGTAAAGTTTGAGGTTGTATTTCTTCGTCATTCATTTAAAACAGTAATTTTTCCATGCGTATATCATCCCAGAAGGCATGATTAAAAACGTATTTGAATTTAGGAATCTTGAGTTGAGCAGGGAATTCAATTCTAAGTCACTGCAATTTTAAGGAGCACTAAGTGGTCTGCTGATGGGTTTAATTACAACTTGTGGACTGAGGTAACAGTAAAATAAAATAAGTAAACCGATAATAAGGCAGGTCGTAATACTGACTGAAGAATGCGCAGAAGATACGAGGATACCCTAGAGTGTTTCGGCGTTGAAACGCCATCACCAGCTACTGTATTGTTGGGCATAACTGGGTGACTGAACAGTTGATAAATGCGTTGGGTGCTCAACACTAGAAGACATTGTTTAACGCTGCCAAGTTTTGGAATTCAGCTGTTGGTAATTTCGTAACATTGAAAAACTTTGGGTCCTCTTACTGGTGATGACAATGAATGTGGAACTATACAATGCCATGGGTCGAAAAATGTAAGAAATTCGCTTGACTGCACAGACGTCAACAAATAAGAGGTTTGAGTGAAATGTTGTCAACATGGTAACTGGAGAGGTGACCAATACAAACATAATTACACTTACGGTCATCACTTTTTTCGTCGACACTTTTTCATATACTGCCTGTTAATGATTAAATGGCACTTTTTTACTTTGGGGGGAGGTCGCACGCGAGCAAGCTCGCGCATGCCACGCCTACTGCGCATGGCTTCAGCCCAAGCGTAGTCTCAGCCTAAGCCTAAGCCTGAGCTCGCTTGCTAGCCTCTGTTGTAGCATCGAGCGATCTGAGGCTACGCTTAGATGAGGCTGAGGTCACCTTAGGCTGAGGCCANCATAGCTTTAAGCTTATTCCAATAACTACTCGGGCACGTAACCAGTGTAATTTGTTTTTTTAGATTCTTTGGTGCTCTTATTTATTGCGATTTAAATAGAGGATTCATACTTGTTTTTGTTGTACGGCGGCAACGAAAGTTGATGGTAAAAGTTTATCATTCACATTCCATGGACAAACGAGTGTCCCAGACGAACTTAAACAACGATCATGCATGGCTCTTTCACTGTGAATTTTTCAACATAGATTGTTGCGACGAATTGCGACTTCAGCACTAGGAAAAATTCTTTATCAATTCCACTAAAGATCACCTTCTACACAAAAGTAATAGAGATAACATAAACGATCATATTTCATTCCATCGACATTTGGTTTGATATAAACACCAATGCTCAAGTTTGGTTTATTAATTTGTGGCCCTAAAGAGGGCCGTTGGGTTTAAAATTTGATGCATCGAAGAATCGTCAGATACTGCTTACGCACGTTCTCCTCGAATGCGACGGGCCAACTGGATGTCTTTTGGCATGATTGTGACTCTCTTCGCGTGGATCGCACAGAGGTTGGTGTCTTCGAATAAACCGACCAGGTAGGCCTCGCTGGCTTCTTGGAGGGCCAAAACTGCCGACGACTGGAAACGCAAGTCTGTCTTGAAGTCTTGGGCGATCTCACGTACCAAACGCTGGAACGGGAGCTTACGGATGAGGAGTTCGGTCGATTTTTGATAGCGACGGATCTCACGGAGCGCTACGGTACCCGGACGGTATCTGTGTGGTTTTTTAACACCTCCGGTTGCTGGTGCAGACTTGCGTGCTGCCTTGGTAGCTAGCTGTTTTCTTGGGGCCTTGCCTCCTGTAGACTTACGGGCTGTTTGTTTAGTACGAGCCATTATTCTATCACTGACGATACGCTAAGCAATTGGAACGATAACAATGTTGTGCCATAGCCCTCCTTTTATACCGAAATCCCTTAAGCACCGCCCCCCACGGCAGAGCAACCTCCCACCGTGGTTCAATGCAACGCTCAAACAAAGCTATATATATATCACTAAATCGTGTCAGATGAACGTGTGAGTTTTCAGAGATAGGGTTTGTTAGATGTTGTGGTTCGACCTTCGAATCCCGGCCTAGGTCTCCCGACTGGTGGTCAGGTAAGTCCTGATACTTCGGGATTTCATGAACACGTGATTTGATTAGTATTGGCAATATACTCATGTTCAATTACACTGAAAACATTCAGTACTATTCACATTCATGAGCAAGGCGACAACTAATGGATGAGTTATCACGTAATAGCGCGACAGAAGTAACTAACAATAGTTCCATAATCTCATCACTCTTGCTTAGATCATCACAATTATGAGACAAAAAAAGAAACAGATTTCATCATCATCACCACTCGTTTATGACCGTTTTTAAACGGCGGATTGAAAAACGCTCGGAGTTTTGCAAACACCAGACCGAGCAATGGTTCTCAAAGAAGGGTTTGAGCATGTCAAGGAAAATTGAGAATTTTGAAAATTACGTTGGCAAACTATTTTCTTCGTGCTTGTCCCATAATTGTTCAGTGTTTTCAGTATGTTCTTTTCATCATAAGAAAAATGACCTGGAATTTTGGGGGATATCACAGTGCATTACATTTAGGTTTAACTTTATGATGAGGCTTATCTCGAGGTTACGTTCTCTTACCTATCTAATCAACAAATTGGTGGTTGTGTCACGTTCGTCGACCACCTCAAAGGTCTCAATGATTTCACCGAAACTATGCAGGTCTTTAAGGTGAATGTAGAGTGGTAGTTTGTTCGAAACATTGATATACCACAAAAAGGTATGCTGTATATGGCGCCCAGTAAATGAGCAAGTGTTCAGCGTTACCTGTGTGCAATGTTCATCTCGGTTATTTGATATTTCAAACAATCGCATTCTCCGCAATTCTTAACAAATTCACGACACAATTCATGCTCTTACAAAAAAAGTTCAATCTATCGCACATATCAACAAGCAGTTTATTTCTTCTCAGTTTACCCCAATTTTCAGAATATGGTAATGTTTGATGCTTTTACTGTTAGACATCTCGCCAGTTGAGTCGCAATTACCATTTTCGAGGCAATACTCGTTGGTTACGATGTTTCGCATAAATCAATTGAATAATTTATTCAAACCAAAATATAAATTGATTGAACAGACGCAAATATTTTCTGATAGAAATACATGTGAATGAATAAAATTCATATTTTGTGTAGCTTTAGTGAATAACGCGAAGCTGAGCGCTTATCTCTGTGGTCGCTGTTTTATTATTCATTCCCTTCATTCGAACAAGCCGTCATTCGTAACAATCATAACATTTCCCTCCAATAGTATAACTAATTTCCATCGAACATTTCCGCTGATATCATAATGTCATCGTTCGTAATCGCAATCCCATCGTTTAATCGATGCAGTCAATCAATCGTCTGTATTGTCGCCAACACACACTACGTTTTCCCGCTAAAAGCTTTCTGCTGCAGCATATAAGGCAACGTGTTGGCGTTTGTTGTAGATAATGATTATGGGGGAAGGAACGACTTTGTTTAGAGGAATGTTACTGATTTATGTCATTGGCAAGGATGTGCTGAATTTGGCTTGAAGAGATCTCTGAAGAAAATCCGCCGAATGAAGGGTGATAAAGGCTGCCATGTGGGTTATTAATATCAAACGTCTTAGGTTAATATGGGAGGACTAATGATCACTGTTGACGAGTCGAATGAGTGGTTGATAGATGCGCTTGAAACTAGTGTGTTGGTCGATCGGGGAATTGCGGTGACCCCGTCCTCGAATTTTTTTCACTCGACCGCGTTCTCGAGATTCTCGACTACGAAATTTTGTATCTGGCTTTTTTTTCAACCGTTCAACGCACTGTATGAGAATGTTGATGCCATTCGCAAAAACATGCAATTGTTTAAGCAAAAATGAAAAACGTGTCCCAATAAAAGTCGGCACTTTTCTACTTTGGGGGGTCGCACGCGAGCAAGCTCGCGCATGGCCTCAGCCTAAGGTGACCTCAGCCTCATCTAAGCGTAGCCTGAGATCGCTCGAT